TCGAAGGAAACGTCACGTTTAATTAATTTATTTCAGTAAGGCCACTTCTCTTTTTTGAGGCGGATAGGCAAACCCTGGGAGCGTCTGAATCCATCGTACTCGCTCTTAACTTAATACAATGAATACTACCGGGAAAATGTTTCTCTTATTTAAAACTAAATCAATAAATAAGAGCAGAATTAGGGAGAGTATCTTTATAGGAAAAAAATAAAAAAGATACTTCCTTAATTAATAATGTATCCACTGAGAGTCGAATCACTATCATTTGCGGTAAGTGTACCTAAAATAAGAGAAAGATTTTATTTGTTTAGAGAAACTCGAAACTCTAAGTAATTCAGTGACGCATGTGTTCTAAACAAGTTCATGAGACTATGCTCTAATAAAACCTGATCACACATGGGTGTCAATCAAAGGAATCTTTGAATAATTAACGCATTAGGTGTAAGAGTAAGTATGAAACTTACCTCTATGCTTTAAATTTGATACTACCACGGAAAACTTCCTTTAATAATAATTTGTAAAAATCATTGTTTTCGTCAAGGTTAGAAATAGCGTTTTAAGGTATTCAAAAATATATTTTTTTTAGTCAAAATTTAAAAAAAGTTATGATATATTTCACTTTTTTTTTTGATGTTAATGTTGAAAAACCAAAGAGTTGGAGGGTATAATTATAGTGGTTTGTAAACTTATTGCTGAGTATAAGGATAACCTTTCGGAAAGCATAGATGATTATCTATTAAAAACTACCCTCTTCCGCAGTGCCAGCGCTTTCAAAAAGCTGTCGGGGATAAAGTTAGAGATGAGCCTACCAAAGCCTAAGGTACTGTACATTAACAAAGATGCACGGTAATTATTTTTTTTTGCTATTTAAGATCCACGTTATGACCATAAGATTTATAATATCTCGTGAAAATAGTAATTTAACTTTTAAATTTATAAATCGAAAAATTTAAAGTTATTATAAATAAGAAAATAAAGAAAATAACAATTAATCAATTCTCAAAACCTACCTAAATTAATGAACTCAGATGTAGAGTGGTTTTCAACGCTCCGTTCAATTTCAAGTGAAGATCCGCAGTGATCACAGGCCGGTATAATAAAATATTTATGTTTTGATTCCAGATGTTGAAGAATAATATGATGTAATGCTTCGTAATCTTGTTTAGTAGTGTTGCTGCAACAACTGCTAAAATAAAATGAATAAAATAAATATTGAATAAGAGATATCATAACCATGGATTTATGAAAGGTGATTGATAAAAAAAAAAAAAGCTCGCGAATCAACTATTATTTGATAAAAATGATATTTAAAGAAAAAGTATGGTATAATGGATTAAATTAATATTCCAAATATTTTACTCGTAATACATAATATTGTATGACAATATAAACCACGTGTTCGAAATTTAAGTTAAAATACTAACCTCGACAAATTAGCGTGCAGCATGCCTTGGGTTCGAGTTTTTTTGTTTAATAATTTAAGCAAGTGAATCATATGATCACTGATATGATTTTACTAATGCCATACGTGTTTTTGTAAAAAAAAAGTTGAAAATATACTTAATACAACAATATTTCCATAAAATTCATTATTTTTTTTTTTTTAATAGGATTTAATATTTTTGAGATTAATGGTAAATTAACAATTTATGAGAATATAAATCAAAAATTAAATAATTAGTCCTTATTTTTCATTTGGAAATATGCGCTTATCCCAAATGTGAATTTGTTCTGTAAAATCATATATAAAATAAATTGTGCAACACTCCTGCTGGATTAAAAAGAAAAAAGAAGAAAACATAATAATTTAAATTAAAAATAAAATGTTTTATAAAATTATATAATTATATTATTTTTTATTTATTGAAGGAAAAAATATTGACTATGCTGCTATAGTACCTATTACTATACATTTATTTAGTAAAATTCGTGGGTTGGTTATGAAGCCTCGAGGTCATAAAAATTTTTTAACATTTATTACAATACTTAGTGAAATATAAATTAATAAAGCATCAGTGCATTTCAATATAACAGATGTAGATAAAATCAATTTATTTATCTATTATAATTCAGATTTATTAAGTCTAATTTAAATAGTATTAGTTATAATATATTTTATACAGCTGACGTTTTCGTACCCATAATTCCATGCTATCACTGTATCGTTATCCTTCAACTTTCCCAATTAATACAATTCAAAATAACTGTTATCAGAACGCTTTCAAATTCATCTTTAAGATGTGTAAATTATATTTATATTTTAACACGTGACAAAAAAGTTTTTATAACACTAAGATAAAAATTCTAGGTTAACTTGTTAATTTATCAGCATCTTAATCTAATAACATCAAAAACTAAAATGCAATAAAAATCCCAATTTTGTTAATATTCCCGAAACTTGATTTTCCTAGTAATCAACGATGCTAGCATATTAATACATTTATCAATAACTTATTCTTTTCTGCACTCAAAAGAGCGTCCAAGCACGCGGCCAAGTCTGTTGTATCGTAACGCGCCTCTTTTGGTATTCCAACGAGTTTTAAAATACCATATACAATAATAAAAATCGGAATAGCTACGTTGCATAAAACTTTAAGAAAGTATCGTAGCGATCAAACGGTCGGATATCATGCGATGACTCTTGACGGTGTTAGTCGCAAATCATACTGCGCCTCAGATGAATCGTTTGATCGACTTCATAATACATGTATCGAATAGTTTACCTTTCATTATATATATTATATAGTCTTTTATTACTTATATTATATTATCTAATTTTCATTATATGTATCGTTTATAATTATCAAAAAGCGTAGTATAGTACTAGTTAGCAATTTTATATAAATAAACCTGTAAGTTGACCTAGAGTCGACAGAGTTTTTGCTCAGAGATTGAGATAAGTCTTGGGACTAGACTTATAAACTCTACAGTTTTTAATAAAGTTACTATTTTACACTTTCAACCTTCCTATTGACTTCATCATAGGATTTATCGTGATAACCTACTACACAAGTGAATCGCAATAGTGAATCGTGATGATAAATTGTTTTGTTTGTTACTCGTTAATTTCCTTCGAGATAATTGCGATATTAAGTTTATTAATTTTGTTAGCTTGGTTTTTAGACGACTCCAGGTCTAACAACGGATACAATATCACCGATAGGTCATATATAGCCAGCATGCGCTTTTCGAATTTGGATCGTGTAGAAATCTATGTAGTTTCGATATCGCCTAAACATATCGTTGGGAAATGTATCAGAATAAAGGACAAGTATAGTTGTTAACATTGTCATTTCATGTCATGTATCACCATTCCATTTAGAATCGTGATTTGAAAATAAAATAAACTCTTGCAACGACACCATTTGAATTCTGAATTCTCACTTTCGATATTATTAGTATAAACATCTTTTCGTCCGTGCCATATACTATTGCCATGGTTTTATATGAAGTGCTCATTTCCGTGCTTATTAACTTAAAATTACATCTACAACTCTCTTGATAATTTAGATTTTTATTTGTAGTTATAAAATTTATGGATATACAAAAAAGATAAGCAAAAAGTAAAATAGTTATGCAATATAATCAATCATGAACTACAATGGATTGGCTAAAACAATACATATATCTACAAGACGCCGGAAATTTTTTTTAGTTGGAAACCCTTGCCGGCAGAACATTTTCAATATCAAGTACCATCGATTGATTAACATATCCATCTGCCTAATAATAACTGACAGGTTGATATTTTTTTTATTTTTTACAGAAGAAACCATGTGGATGAAAATTTTGCTTTTGATCTGCCATGAAAAATTCGTGAATATGCTTTCCCGTTATCCTGTTTAATATAAACATTTTTTTTTTGGAGAAAAATTTATTCACTAGTTGTTGCTTTAATATGTGTTCTAGTAAGACCTTTGACCCTTTGATGAAATAATTGTATTCAAAGCTGAATCCTTCAATAATGGGTCTGCTGCTGCACCACTCGAGTATTAATCAAATTTGCTTGAGAATTTCTACATATTAAACGAATATTCAAATCTGGTCGAAATACTTTTGACGTAGAGTTATCATCCACCAAAGGTTTTAATTTTGGAAACGGAGTGCGAAACATTATTTTTTTTTTTTAAAAAAAGGAAAAAAATCATGAAGAAAGAAATATGAAGAAGAGAATGATTGAAATTGTTCACCAACAGTGTGTGTGTGTGTGTGTGTTCTTTTTATACATAATTACCACTCGCGTAGATTTGGTTAAAAGAAGTAAATTAAGTACCTTACGCAGCAAAAATTCGTGTAAATCATTACCAAAATTAATACTTCCAGTTTTCAAAAGCTTTTGTTTCTTAAATAGCTTTGTTTCTATATTTATATTCGATTGTATTTATTGATATTTCCAAATTATTTTATCCACAAAAAAAAATATATTTCATTGTTATTAAACATTTGTTTAAGTTATTTTTTTTTTCGAAAAGAATCTTTTAAGGAAACCTTATTATCTAATACGTATGAGATCAGATCGTGATGGGTACTAAATTTAATTTTAATATTTTGTTATAATTATTATAAAAAAAATAAATTTAGTTTTGTGTAATTTGTTTAATTATTTTAATCGCACAATTTTGAAATCAAATTTTTAAAATCATTTAGCTGATAATAAATTGCTTGAACAAACCAATTTCTTGTGCTCGCAACATAAGATGGAATCCGAATGTCATAATAATCACGATAATAAAGAAAGAATATAATTCACATAAAAAATATCGCATGATTTCTTCAAACTTGTCAACCATCCTTGTCGGCAACGAGAATTTATTTACTGGAGGGTGAACATTTTTCAAATGTAATTTATCATTTAATTCATTTCACTCAAAGATGGTTAAATTTCTCGTTAATTACGTCATTTAACTTCAATTATTTTCATTAGTTCTAATTTGATATGGACAAATATAATATAAATATAAAAGTAATCTATTCATTTCTATAACAATTCTCTATTCTCTCTACCAAATTGCGCTCAAGAGTGAGCGTTGGAGCATACGACCATTTTTCCTGGTTGAACCTTCAGAACCTCTCTTCTCAATTCTCATTTCAATAACATCAACTCCCTCTTCCTCGATGCTATCCTCGCATGTAGCTGTAAGTTCTTCTTTCATTTGACCAGGACTGCCGAAGATATTGGTTTCAAGTTGCTCATCCATTGGATGAGCTTCGATATAGGTCAAGTGAATGTTTGCAATTTTAGTCCAACATTCACCGCAATTCCAATCCTTTGGAATTTCTTTGGTGGATCCATCAGGTAGGAATAAGGTCTTCCCATCAAGAGATATGGCAATGTTTGTATCCCCATTACTTTCTTTATTGGCGAATTCAAACAATTTAGTGAACATTTCGATAAAACAAAATTCTTATTAAAAAAAAAAAAGTTCCAAAATATCGTTAGCGCTCGTAATCATTTCAACGTTATACGTATATATATTTGTTTAAAGTATTTCTACGTACCTCCTTTATCGTTCTTGAGACAAGCGGCTTCGTGAAATGGAATACCAGCATAATAAGTGAGAAATGTACCGTAAGCCATCAACGAATTGACATCAAGCGTTCTGGGATCAGCGCTTAAATCCAAAGGAGCCGACAATTCAGTGGCACAATCCGTCTTGAGCTTTTCCAAGGTTTGTTCAACTTCTGATGGATC